CCTCCTCCCCCGCAGCGGGCCGGCGGAGTTTCAGTCTGGGTTTAAAGAATAACCCCGAGCGCGTGGCTGAGTGTGAGCGAGCGTGTGTGACGTCGGGAGGCGCCGCGGCTTCACCGAGCCGCCCCCCTCGGCTGCCCCTTGTCTGGACCAAAACTGCTGACTGGCTGACCCTGGCGGTCACATTTGCCCTCTGGGGTTTTTGAAAATCTTAAATCAAAGTTACTTTTCTTCCTGGCAGCTCCCGAGGCTACTTCCGCGGCCTCTGGGCTGTGAGCTGATAAGGACGGGAGCCTCCCCGACCAGGTACCTCGCCGCTGGCGGTCGGAGGGTCTGAGGTTGGCCCCCGCATGATTTTCCTTTTGCTCTCAATCCGTTATTTCCATTTGGCCGCCGGGGCGGTGGAGAGTCGGTCCAGCCGAGTGGACCGTGCGTGGAGCGGTGTCTGCTCTGGCGGCAGGGAGGACCAGGGCAATAATGCGGGTATTTCAGGACGCAGTTTTAGTAGTTTTTCAAGTTCGAGTTTTTCGGACTTGGATGTTCCAGATAATTGCAATTCTCCACTCCCCCTGGTATGTGCAGTCGCAGCGGTAGATTTAATTGGTGAAAAATCGCTCAGGAAACTGAATTTGTTTTCTGAAGTTCGAATTCGTGTCCAGTTTTTAGTGCATTGGATACCGGGAGTTGTAAAAACTATAGATGTGCTTTCAAAACATGTTTTCAAGCCTGTCCTTCCATGCTCTGGTTTCTGAACCGGCTACGCCGATGCGCCTCCGAGAGGGCGGCGGGGTCGGGTTGCCGGCCCGGGAGCCGCGGTGCCCGCAGGCGGGCGCGGGTTGGTGGGAGTCCGGCCGGAGACGCCACTCGTTGCTCCGGGACAAGCTCCGTGCTTGGCGGAGAAAAGCCTCCGAGAAAGGAGCATCTATCGGTCACCCCCACCCTTCGCCACGGACTGATTCATATTTTCCTGGGGTCTGCTCAGTGTCCCTTTGACAGTCTGTTCGCTCCGCACAGGACGGGCGCGGGGCGGGGAGACGAGGAAAGGCTGCGACCTGAGGGCCCGGGCCGGGCTGGGGCTGGGCAGCGGGGGAGCGGGAAGGACTCGCAGCCGGCGTGTTAAGCTCTCATTAAAACACAAAACCCCTTCCCCACACCCCCCTCTTCTTTTTTGTACGGTCCCCACAGCGGTGCCTGCAATAACCGTGTGAACAGAAACCCGAAACGTTCCATCCAGATTTCTGAAACTTAACCCCGGGCAAAGAACACTGTCGGCGGGGGCCGGGCGAGGCCTGGCTGGGCTGTACCGGGTCAGCTCAGGACTGCTGTGCCCCCAGGGGCGGTAGCCCCCCCGCCCCCAGCTCTGCCGTGGGTCTCAGGGCAGGTCCCCGGCCCTCAGGGGTCTCCAGGCCTCTGCCCCTCTGCAGCACCCGCGTCCTGAGCGCGCTGCGCTGCGGTGCGCCTGCCCGCATCCCACCGGCTCCGACCTCCCACGACGCCACCTGGTTCCCAGGTCCCGCAGCCCAGCAGGTGAAGAGCTGGGCGCTGGCGGTCGGCGCCCCGTCTCGCGGGGTGGACACTCGCATGGCCAGTTCGCACGGGCCGCGGGGGAACGCGCCGCAGCCGGCCTGGCGCGAACTCGACCGTCACAGCTTTCGGCCGAGGCGGCCCGTTTTTCTGAACGCAAATGCCTACAGGTGCGATGAACGTTCGCCACGCGAGCAAACTAGACGGCGCTTCCAAACGGCCGGCTCAAAACCTGAGATCATCGTTGGAAAAAGATGAAGA